ACACCGCCCTCGCGGCCGCATTCTGGACTAGCTGGAGCCTCCGAGTGCTCCTCAAGGGAAGCCCCATGTAGAGAGCATTACAGTAGTCCAGGCGGGAGGTGACGAGAGCATGGGTGACTGTGCGCAAGGCGTCCCGGTCCAGAAAAGGCCGCAACTGGTGAATCAGGCGTACCTGATAAAACGCCCCCCTGGTCACGGCTGACAACTGGTCTTCCAGTGTCAGCCGTGGGTCCAGGAGGACCCCCAGGTTGCGTACCCTCTCCGAGGATGAGGTTTCTCTATACAGGTAGTACCCCTAACCCTCGACCTGCAACCACAACGGAGCCCCACATTTTTGTTGCTAAGTGAGGCATTTGTGGAAGTGAATTTTTGCTCCACTTTACGACTTTTCTCCCCGCGGTTGTTAAACGAATCGCTGCAGTTGTTAAGGCAATCTGGCTTCCCCATTGACGTCGCTGGTTCGAAAGTCGCAAAAGGGGATCGTGTGACCCAGGGACACGGTGACCGTCATAAATGTGAGTCGGTTGCCAAGCGTCCAGATTTTTGATCACGGGACCGTGGGGGATGCTGCAACGGTCGTCAGGGTGAAAAACGGTGCCGCTGTAACTTCGAACAGCCACTAAATGGAACCGTTGTAAGTCGAGAACTCCCTGTGCTCTTGGCATGACCTTGTTTATGACTAAGCCAGGTGGATGGACTTAGGTTAGAACAGCTGAGGAGAGCTTTGTGCATCTGGCATCCCCCAAACACCGGGGCTGAATATATATGTGTGCGCATTTTGCAGTGGCCATAATTGACCAACTTTCTGTTGTTGTTTTTTCCCCTCTCCCAGCTTAATTAAAAACCCTGCTGAACGGGCAGATCTAAAGATGCTGATGGTAAGAATTGTCGGTTTGTGTGCTCAGATACCGAATTTCCCTCACTAAGGAGATCCAAATTCCCCAGGCAAATTGGTCCACCTCCCCTCTGAGTGTGTGAGCGTGCGTGTTTCACTGGTGTGTTCTTTGAGGCATTGCAGCCCTGTCCTCCACTTGAGGGTACCGGGCCAAGCGCAGAAAGTCCTGAGAATCGCACGACGATTGTGTAGATTGTCCAGGGAAAAGCCCTGAATTGGGTAGAGTATACTTTCCTCCCAGACCCCTTTTACGGCAGAGAGGAGGGTGGTCTCAGACTGAGGAGCTGCAGGTCCCAAACCCCCAGCGGCCGGGGTCTTCCCACAGCCCCAGGGGCCGAGGTCCTCCCACACACCCTGTGGCTGACACCCTCCCACACCCCCAGTGGCCAAATTCCCCCCACACCCCCAGTGGC